GTCCTCTGAGATAGTTACCCTAGATAGTCTGAGAGCATCGAGAAGGCAGAGTTCTTGAAGGTCCAGGGTCCTAGCACGAATATCCCGATCATACCATTCTTGCCACTCTGGTCTCACCGTGGGCCAGCATCGGTGGGGGCGATTTATCCTCCAGTTCCTCCAGTCAAGACCACCTTCATAGAGAAGACATTGGTTTTCCAGACGGGGAACTAAGGGCTGGGAGCTCAGTAAGGATCTCTTTGAATATGGGCCCGAGCACGTAGTCTAGCTGCACATGGCAACGAGGGACAACGATGCGTCCATCAATAGCGCTTTTCTCCCAGCTTTGTACTTTTCACATTCTGCATCGATAATCCTCTTCAGGGCCACAGTATGGGCTCGTACGCTCTACGACTGATACTGAAGGAGAAGCCATTGACAGTATGCTTTTCTTGAAAGTGAAACCGAGAAAAGGAAGTAGAGAGAAGCCGAAGATCGGTAGAAAGAGGGTTTGTGCGTTAAAAGAGCAAGTGGTTCAGAGCACGAAACAAAAGGTTTTGTTTTAAAAGCCCTCGTGTCTGAAAATATATTACGTGAGCTGTTAAGTATTAGAAGCGCGAATACAAAAAGCTTCTTCAATATTAATACTTTTGGAGGGAAAAACAAAGCCCAGATGTTGAGGCTACCTTCGAAGTAAGATATTTGGCTTCGAAGCCAAGTCAAACGGCTTCGAAACAGAGAAGCCGGCTTCGAAGCAGGTTGCCATACCCAAAATATATAAAATACTCGAGTGTTTATTTCACTTAAAAGAGTTTAAAGACCTGTTTTTAGGTTTTTAACAAAGGTAATGTCCTTCGAGGCAAAACTTGAGATTCTTTAAGGATGGGATTTGGTGTTTGAAACATCAAAAGCAATAATGACAATGATTAGATGTTGACTATGGTCAAAACAGACTTTAAGTATAAGATTGCTAGATTCAGAAGCACTGTTCTAATTGAAAATCAGCCAAAACTGTCAACTTTATTCCACAAATTGGAAAGGTTTTATAATTGGCTCATTTAGTGTTTCATTAAAACAATTAGTCCAGATTCAAAGGATGAAATTGTTCAAGTTCAAAGCTCTGAATTGACTTTTAAACACAAGTGAAAGCAGGGTCAACACATGACAAATGAAGAAGAATTTTGTTTATATAAAACCAAAGCGATTACATCAGATGACCCTATCTCGGTATAAACTCGAGCTCATAAAAATAAGGAATGGAATAATAACAAGATCATGAAATTAGTCCAACAATGATCAATAAACTTTTGTTCTTTCCTTATTCTATCTTCCAAATTTTCTAGCATTGGCTGCATATGTGATGTGCTCTCACTTCATAGTAGAGCTCTTCAGCTTTATTTCGAAAACCACCTCTCTTATCCTTGTTCCAATTCGTCAATGTCTAAGTCATCCCAATACGCAGAATCTTTATTCTTGAAATCACCGAATCTTTCAATGAAGTTCTCTGCTTCGTACTGAGCATGAATTCGAAGAGACGAAAGTTGGTCTAAAGATTGTGTAGTAGCCACAGAATTTCGATGCCAGTAAAGGAGCAATGGAAGTTGGTCCAGAACATATGAAGTTCTGCCTGAGCAAGGGAATTAAGGACATGGCCCCTAGTCAGAATACTACAAAGCCCATCGAAGGTTCTTTGAGAGGGACTTCGTCCTCAAGAACATTAAAAGGCAAGTGAGAGAAGGCTGCAAGCAGAAGTTGAGCCTGTTTCCGCTCAGCTAGAAGATACTGAGATAGAGGTTTATAAGGAGGAAAGACATTCTCCATGGATAGGGAAATCTTTAGTTTCTCTGTCCAGGAAAGAATTGGTGGGGAAGAAGGTATGCATACTTCAATTTCAGGAGACAAAGAAGAAGGTGTGGATGCTTCTGTTTTTGGGGATGATACGGGAGCAGAAGGAACAAAGGCATTAATATAATCAAGCCAGTCAGAAGAACAAATCTTCGCCTTCTGGGCTAAGAATGATGGGTTATACCCTTGTGCTTCTTCTGGTCGGGGGGCAGCGTGCACTATCTTTGTAGGCATGGAGGATGTATACCATGCTACAAGAAGATTCTCCTCCAGACTACGCCGATGGTCAATGGGCACATAGGGATAGACAACTGAACTTCGAGCATAGGAAGGAAACTCTAAAGGGTCAGTGAACTCAACAAAATGGTGGTTGATTCGCTCCTTCAAATCACAGGTCTCAGGTATTGACCAGCTTGTCCAGTCAGAACCCCCAAAAGAGGAAGAAGTTGCAGCTTTATCCCATACAGAGATTTGTGAAGAAGAGTTTCTCAAATCCATATTTGCAACTTTCCGAATCAAAGGTTTGAGAGCAGTTTGTTCGAACTATAAGAGTAGGTCAGAGGAAGAACTTCTTATGTCTATATTTGTAGCTTTCTGAATCAAAGGATTAAGAGCAATGTGTTCGTAATCCAAAGGTTGGTAATTTGCAAAGGCATCCATGACCTGAATATAGAAAAGTGGGTAAAGGTGGCTAATAAATGCATGCTTTCGATGAGGAACAACATCGACATAAGACTCTTCGTGTGCTTGATCGCTAGAGGAAAGAATTAATTTGGCCATGAAATGTATCAGTCTGTTCGAATGCTAAGACAGTGAAAATACTTAAAGGATCAAAACGAGAGTATTAATACAAATGGTGAGTGACAGTTGCATTTCTGGGAAGATGCAAAACCCATGCACGTTCTAAGACGTGGGAAAAAGGACCCTGATCTACTAATATCACCAAGTCTTGGGCATATTAGTGCGAGGGGTAATGTTGGCTACATATTTTGTGCTAGCCAGTGACAATTCGACGCGTGGCAAAGTAAGGGTAATATGGGGAGACCTGTCAGGTCTTCGATCCTGATCATACACGTGGCAGTTAATATTGGTTGTTATAAGATCTGAGTAGCAGTGAATCAACAAAGAGATGTAAGGTGAAGTGGCTTCAACGGTTGCTCACATTCAAATTCAAATGTAGGAGGGAAGCCTAACTGCAAGTGAAGGCGTAGTGGAACTACTTATAAGGTAGCATGATCAGCGATCACGGAGGAGCAGTTCGACGGTTTGAAGTGCAGTTCGATGGTTATCTTTGGAGAGTATAAATAGCAAGAAGGACTTCAGAGAAGGAGACGAAAAAAAGATCTAAGAAAACCAGTCTTACTTTACATATTCCAGTTTTATTTCCTGTTCTTTACATTTCTGTACTTTAAGTTCCTGCACTGCACTTCATTTGTAGAAGTAGTTTTCGGGTATATTACCGCTGTAAATCTCTACGAGGCTGAGATCATTGTAAGTTTTTCATACTAATGAAATGCTTCAATTTATTTAACTGTTTTTATGCTTAAATTCTCTGAAGTCAAGCTACCAGTAAGCCACCAGTAAAAGTCCTCTTTATTGAGGCTAAAAGAACCATAACACAATCGTTTGAATAATTGGTTGGCAATTACAATTCTGTAAGGACTGATTGATCCTTGCTGGCACGCTCATAATTACAAAAATAACATTCAAAAGCCAAAAAGCCAACAGTTGCGATCCCATCACCATTGATGGGGTTATGGAATAGGTTTTCTTCTTCTCATTAAAACCCTTATATTGTGATTTTATCATATTTTTTATATGGTCTCGTGATATAAGGTTCATGATCATTCAAATATTACACGTTTGACATGGTTATTTTGATGCTTGTTTCAATCTACTATGACCAAGGTCTTTTTTTTCTTATTTGTCCCATATTTTAGTGGTTTCACACATTTCTTATCATGCCATGTTTTATTGAACTACAATGATTAGAGTTCATACTTCTATACAATATTGACATATTAGGCGTAACAAAGTTGTCAGTGTCATATTTGGTGTAGTTTATACTAAGATTGCATAAATGTTTCTTTTTTATCCCTAACCTTGTTTCTTGAGTTTTTGTGAGTTGTGACAGAATTTGAGAAGGAGACTTCTCTATGCTTGGTTTCTAGATATTGTCACCACTATTGATGTACACCCCTAGTTACAGCCATGAGATCCTCTACCTCCAAAATTTGTTGCGTCTCCTAAATAGCACAAACATAAACACACGACGCAACAAAATGAAGGACACGATACATCTGAAATACATTAAAATTTTATATTTTCATAAATTTATTATGTACTACATATATGAATAGTTTATCCAAAGGTATTGGGGGGAAGGGAAAACAAAACAAAAAAAGTAACATAACACTAATTCAAAAAACTTATAGAAAAAACCATATATTCCATAACTTTAACATGAAAATATCATTCTTGCAACAATCGCAATGCAATATAAATAATACAAAACAATTTATAGAACATTGAAATACATATAATATATTCATCTTATAAATGTTCCAAAACATATTTAGAGTTTTAAGTTGTATTCCAAAAAATAAAGAACGTTATTACTATGAAAAAAGTCATCACATAGGTTGCAATTTAGTCCAAAACCTCTGCCTATATTTGAACTATATGACATAAAGTGTTCCAGCCTTAAACCGCAAGGAGTAAAATGAATTTTGCCTAAAATTTTACGTTCCGTCCCTATATTCGAACTATATGCCGGACACACCTTTTAGGAGAGTCCACAGAGTGTTGTGTCCTACACCCTTTTCTTTGCTAGTTTATGTGCCCGTCCCTATATCTCGAAGGCACGATCATGCGGCTAGGAGTGAGGGGCAAAGGATCCCTAGCCCCAGTTAGGACTTAGCTTGTAGGGCATTTTAGCCCCCACTGAAAATCAACAATTGAGGAGGTTTCAGCTCCCCCTCAAATTAAACAGCCCGTCCCCAAAATTTGATCTTAACCCTAATTTTTCATGCTGGAAACAAATCAACGAGCCTATTTTAAAAAAAGAATTTTTTTTTTTGGCATAAAAAAAAAAGTACTACTTCTTCATAAGAACAAAAGAGGAATCCATTTCCTTGAAGTTTTGTAGTCTTAAAACAATTAAAAGGAAAACAAACCTGGAAAATCAAACTCTTCAACCAAAAAAAGAAAAAACCATCAAATTGCGAAACCTGAAATGGCCAAACAGCCAACAAACCACAAAACCAGTTAATTTTCCTAATTCACATTGTTAAATTCAATGTATAAAGAGAGAAATACAGAGAATAATGTATCTATTATTGATTGTTGTATATTATTGTGTATATTACAAGGAGATGTGCACTCTCTTTTATAGAAAGGAAAAGATACATAGGGTGCCAATTAGCACCGAAAGCATAAAGCAAAGGGAGAATACTCATTATGAAAGCTAGACATAATGATACACTAACAATTATGACTAACACTACTAAATGTACATAATATACTAAAGATGCTAACACTAATATACTAATATACAATAATATACTAACAGCCCCCCTCAAACTCAAGGAAAGATTTTATTATAAAAAATATATATTTATATTATGTTTTTAAAAAATATTTTATTTTGCTATGTATCAGAGTTTGATTTTTCAACTTTATCAATAAAATTATATGGATATTAGATATCTTGAAGAAGTAGAATAAAATAATTTCCTCTGTTTGGCAAGATGGTTTTCAGGCTTTTTTGGCTATTTTAGCCACAAAAAACAAAATAGGCTATTTTAGCCATAACAAACAAAACATCACATCCAACCCATAATCATTACATTCTTCTCTCACAAAAAAAGCCAAAAAAGCCAAAAAGCCAAAAAGCCCTTCCCAAACCAAGCTTTTTAGCCCAGGCTAAAATAGCCAAAAAAGCCAAAAAGCAAAAAAGCCAACCCACTTCCCAAACGGAGGCTTAATGAATAGCACTCTATTACAAACAATAATAAAATAAAATAATACATTACTTAAAATGGTATTTGATATAACTAAAAATGAAGTATTGAAATTGAATGTTAAATTTTTTTAAGTTAAAAAGTTGTTTGATAAAAATTTAAGTATTGAACTAAAAGTAAATTGTTTGATAGGTATAAAATCAAATTTAAAATATATTATTATTAAATTGTATATTTTAATTTTTTATATTGTGATGTAGGTAGTAGTGGTGATGGTATGATAGTGGTTGTAGTAGTGATAGTGGTGACGATGGCGATGGCATAGTGGTGGTAGTAGTGATGATAGTGGTGGTAGTAGTAGTAATGATGGTAATGGTAATAAATGACGATAGTGCATATGACAACAATAACAACGATGATACTACATGCATCAATTAATGTACACACTAGTGTACCAACTAGTGTTATGATATTATTATTGACCACATTTATTATACAAGTTACAAATACCCAAAACCATATAAATGATGTCACATCATCTGTTAGTACACTAGTTTGTACATTAATTGGTACGCATAGCATTATTCCAATAACAATGGTGATGAACGTATTAATAGTAGTAGTGGTGGTACTAGCGGTGACATGGTAGTAGTAGCGGTAACGATGGTGGTGGTGGTGGTGGCGGCGGTAATCGTGGAGTGGCTTGATGATAATGGTTGCGGTGGTAGTGGTAGTGGTAATAGCGAAGGTGGTGGTGATTTATAATAATATATATCGATACTTATGTTTAGCATTTATAAATCTAATCAGAATTAAGTAAGTTTCATATTATAAGGTCCCGGTGTCCCACATAGAGAGGGAGTTCTTAGGTTATAAAAGTAAAAACCTGGACCCTTATATAGCATCGAGGCCTTTTTCGGGTGGTTAAATCCCTAGCAGAACTCTCCAGTTAAGCGTACTTAGACTGGAGTAGTTATGAGATGGGTGATTCACTAGGAAGAATAAATTTGTGCGGGTGTGGCCCAAAACGGACAATATCAATGACATGTGAAGGGTTGGGGCGTTATAAATGGTATCAAAGTCGACTCTCCGAAATACCGAGTGTAGGCCCCTAGCATCTCTTAGTGCATATGGGTGGGCTTGTAAGCCGGCAGACTACTGCACGGAGACATACAGCCCTAAGAGAGGTGAATTGTAAGATCCTGGTGTCTCATATTGAGAATAGAGGGGGAGTTCCTAGACTATAAAAGTAAAAACCTGAACCCTTATAGCATCAAGGCCTTTCCCGGGTGATGAAATCCCTAGCAGAACTCCCCAATTAAGCGTGCTTAGGCTGGAGTAGTTCTGGGATGAGTGACCTATTGGGAAGAATAAATCTGTGCGGCCCAAAGCGGACAACATTACATGTGAAGGATTGGGGCGTTACACATATGACTTAAAATTTCAATCTATATTTTAATAGACATTTAAATTTTTAAGTGATATCAATTGTCATTATCAAACAAGTTTAATTGATTATTACTTAATATATTCAATTTTAATTGTTGAACCAAATTATCAAATACCCCCTAAGCTATTAAAAGAACTCAACAAAAAAATTTAAAGAGGATGACCAATTAAAAATTATAAATGAAATTTGACATATAATAGGAGATAAAAACAAACAAATAATTATTGTAGAATATAAGTAAAAAAATAGTTTAGATAATTACTCATACCATTATAAAAGAAATTCACCAAAAGAACAGGTCCACTTATTAACGAGAAAATAGAAATTTAAGATTGGTCTTAAACTAATTTACAATACTTACAAGCTTATATTTTATTTTTAAATCATTTAATGGACTAAATAAGTTTGAATTATAGTTTATAGACTTAATATATTCAATCGATAGTTTATGGACTAAGTTGACTTTCATTATATATGTTAAGGATTTAGTAGATTCAATTAATAATTTAGACACTAAATAGGTAATTTAATAATAATCTAACATTGTGTTTAGTTGGAAGATTTGGAGAGGAATTTGAAAATAGAAATAAAAAATGTGTGTAAAACTAGATAAAATATAGATATATTTTATTCACATTTCACATATATTTTTCATTTTTCTTTTTAAATCCCTCCTCAAACCCCAAACATAGTATAAAGGTAGAAAGTGAAATAAACTCTATCCAAAATGACAATTTGATATATATAAATAAGGGTTTTGTTTCTCTGAAGTTAAAAAAACGGTTTGAGCTTAGTGAGGTTATTTTGAGATTGATTTCGGTTAGAGAATAGTTTGGATCATTGAAGTCGGCCCAAAAAATGAGTTACTAAGGCCAAGTTTGGCAACTCAAAAATAATTAATCTTTTTATCTTTTTTTCATCACATCACCTCTTTACTTTTCTGTACATCTTTTCGTAAAAAAACAAAAAGTACACTTATTTAGGTCATCCCAAACAACCCCTAAATACACACGTTCTCTCAAGTTGAATTACCAAATTAAAGTATTCAAACTCAACAAATAAAGTTTCAAATGAGTCAAATATAACCTTGGATTTGAAGAAAACAAAAAAAAAAAGATAAAATTTTAGATATTTGAGTCAAGATTTGAGTTTCTCCCATTTAGATTAAAATTTAAAAATTTAAGTAAAAGCCAATTTGATAGGAGTTTAAGATTGTGAGTTTAAAAGGATTTGACATTTTTTTATATATATTTAAATTTATATTTGAGTCAATATTTAAGTAAGAATTGAAAATAGTCTACATTCTAATGAAACTATTAATATGGTATCACTTTTGAAATTATTCTCAATTATTAAAAAAAAATTATTTTCATTAGCACATTTTATATGGAAAATATCACAAAAATAACATAGTAATGTTATTTTTATACATAAAAATAATCTTTTGTGGGTATTGTGCTTTTAAGTTAAGCCTCTACATTGAACCATATCATTCTATATAGAAATTATATATATGTGTATATATATATTATTTGTATATCATTACTTTATGTTTTGATGTTAAATTTGAGAAATTATTTGTAGAGAAAAAGAGAAGGAAAAGAATTTGACCAAAAGTTTGTTTGGGCAAATTACTCTAATAGCCGCCTTATTTTGCCCTGTGTCTTATTTATGTAACTATTGTTGGTCATTTTTGTTTTAATTAACTCGATTTTGCTCTTAAATTTTCTATTTAGGGGCCGTTTGGGATGACCTAAATAAATGTATTTTTTTCTTTTTACGAAAAGATGTGCAGAAAAGTAGAGAGATGATATGATAAAAAAAAAATAAAAAGATAAAAAATATGTACTTATTTTGAGTTGTCAAACTTGACCTTAGAGTTTTTTAACCAAAACTGACTATGTGTGTCTTATATGTCATATATCTAGGACAAGATGACAAATTCATTACAATTATCCATCTTTTTAATTTTTTATGACTAGTTAGCGCGGCTACCACATGCCATTACTACCAAAACATCCAACTTTTATTGTTGCCACCGCCCTTTTCAAATTCAAACCCTCAATATTGCCACCATTTACAAAAGCAACATTAATTATAAAAAAGAAAAAATACTATCGAATTTTTGAGAGAGAGAGAGAGAGAGATTGCCTACTGTCGCTACAAACAACATACCATCACCATTCATTTTTGGCGTCTAAACCCACTTTTGTGTGTATAAGAGAGAGAGGGAGGACTCACTCTCATCGCCCTGAGCAAGGATCCTCTAGAGTGATTTTTTCCTAAAATTTCCTAAAGTGCTACAGTGTGTGGTTGAGATTTACTGGCAAGTCACATCAATTTTTCTGATGTGACTTGCCAGTAAATCTCAACCACACAATGTAGCACTCTAGGAAACTTTAGAGAAATTTCACTCTAGAGGATCCTTGGTGCATCGGCCTTCCCTTCACTAGTCCATCACTATGGCCTTCTTTCCTTCTCTAACCCATTCCCGTTGCCTCCTCCCCCTCTTCAACCCCACCCATGTTGGCTCCTCTTCCTTCCCAATCTCACCATTATCAACTCCTGCCATCCCCAATCCACCCTGTTTGCTCATCCCCTTCCCAACCCCAACATTTTAAATCCAGTTGTTAAAGCTTTTTGAACATAAGAAAATAAAACATTAAGGCCTAGTTCGGCATTTTTAAAAAAATTCAAAAAATCAAAAAGTTATTAAAAAAATTAAAAAATTATCAATATTCACAAATTAAAAATATAAAAAAATTAATTTATTACATATTTTAATACAAAGACGTGACTGGTACTGAGAATTGATGGAAAGGCTGTCAAAGGAAAAAAAAAAATAGGCATATATATTTATTAAATTTGAGGGTAAT